AAACATCTACCATAGAAAGAAAAATATTTGACTCCAAATGAAAAGCATCTAGAAAAACATCTACCATAAGCAAAAAAAAATATTTGACTCCAAATGAAAAGCATTTAGAAAAGCATCTACCATTTAAACGTCAAAAAGACATCTAAATGGAAGGAAAAACATATGAAAAGCATCTAGAAAAGCATCTACCCTTTAAACGTCAAAAAGACATCTAAATGGAAGGAAAAACATATGAAAAGCATCTAGAAAATATGAAAAGCACTAGAAAAGCATCTACCATTTAAACGTCGAAAAGACATCTAAATGGAAGGAAAAACATATGAAAAGAATCTAGAAAAGCATCTACCATTTAAACGTCGAAAAGACATCTAAATGGAAGGAAAAACATATGAAAAGAATCTAGAAAAGCATCTACCATCTAAACGTCAAAAAGACATCTAAATGGAAGGAAAAACATTTAAATGTGGATGTAAAACATCCGAAGTGGCAACACTGCACGTTATAGTAAAGCGCGCGCTTTGCAAGAGCGCGCTTTTGCGATGTGAACAACTTGGATGTAGAGAAACCGCGAGAAACTACAACCTGCACACCCTAGAATTTATTGGGAATGTCTCTTGTGACGTCATTGTGACGTCAGGGGGTACGTAAAAATATTGTACCCTTTCACTTAAAATGGCGGTTGGCACGTTGTGTTGTGGTTTACAGTTAGGCTGCGATATCTGCGCCTTTCGCCCCCACATCCAGTTTCAGCAAAGTCTCAATTAGCCTCCCCGCGACGCTTCACTGGATCAAAAACTATTCGTTGATAACAGACACTGTTAACTAAGACAGCTTAAAGTCCATTTTTAGTTTGGATGGACACGGATGCCAAGGTCAGATAAACCGTAGCCATCAACTTATGGAGATTTTCCTATCCGGGACCTCTCAGAGTTTCTTAGCAGCAAAGAAGATGAAACTGGGGATGACATAATGGCTGATGCTGTTCAGCTGGACGTGAACAAGGTTTTTTTTTTTTCAAATAAACCCAAATGACTGTGAATTGTTGGTTTCGGAAGGTTCAGAGGAGTCACTGGTGTATATTGCTGGATTTGTCTCAAGTAAGCTGAACAAAAAAATTAGGTGTGCTGCCTGCAAGACTTTATTGCAGATGGACAGGCCATTATCAAATGATGCTGACTCAGGTGCAATGTCAACAGACTATATACAGCTGCTTGACCGTGGAGGTTTGAAATACCCTTCAAAATTCATAAGTTTAATAACCTTTGTCACATATGCAGCCCCCTGTGTGGGTTCCGGGGCCCCATTGTGGGGAAAACAAGAATAGACCCACTGCCTCCCCAAAAGCATGTTGTAAGAGTCAACTAATTGGGGAGCTTCCTTTGAAGACGGAGTGCGTCTGCCGGAGAGGCAAGGAACCAACAGTCTGTATTCAAGAGAATGAGATCTGTAAAACTGATGCACACGCAACACTCAGGTTCTGGAGCAGGACTGCAGTTCAGTAGTAGACGAGCAACCAGAACCTTCCGCCAGAGTTTACATCTGTACACAATTTAAAATAAAACATGTGTCCCAAAATATACACATGTGTAATTTACACTTAAACTATCATACATGCAATCACAGCATCAAGTCAGATATGTAAACAGAAACATCATCAGATACATATAAATAACAACAATAATGACAATAAACATAACAAAGCTCCCTTCCACATTTCTACTCAGATAAGGATTAAAACTGAACGCCCCCTGTCAACACATCGTGTTATCAGCTGGGTTGCTTAGTGTGTCTCCCACAGCAAAATGCTGTATTATATGTAACTTTTACATCTGCCCTGAACATACCCCAGAAATCTGGTTAGTTACATATGTAGTCCAGTATGCTGACTGAAAGTTATGCATGTTTTCCTTGGTTACAGGCCAGCTTGGACATCTGCTGGGAAAATAAAATTCTCCTTGTTTGATCTATGGGAGGCAGTTGCAGCACTCAGGAATACACCATATTTGTCAGTGTATAAGATGCCCCCACGTATAAGACGGCTCTTATTTTCTGAGCCCATAATTAAGAAACAAGTATCTTAATTACACTCCATGTATAAAACAACCCCACAATTTTAAATTTAAAAAAATGTGGCACAACGTACTGTTTTATATACGGACACATATGGTAGCTGTGTGCAATGTCTTAGAAGAACTGAGGGAGTAAAAAGAAGAAATAAAACTTGAAATGAAAAAAATTAGAAGATGACTATGACTGACACCAGTCATACAGTTCATTCAGCAACTGATGAAAAGGTTTAACTATCTGCCCTGGTACCAACTGCCTAAAAAAATGAAAATCAACTTTTACAATGCATTAGAAAGAGCAGACAGAAAATCCTTTCTCCAACAAAAGGAAGAGAAGAAAAATAAAGTCATCTGATGTGAAAACGAACATGACAACCCAGGCAAACTGTCCACTTGTCATCGCTGAACCACAGTGGCTGTAAGTGTTTGAATTCTTCTCTAGCTCAGACTTGTATTCCATGCACGCACGCACACACAAGAACACATACATTTGTTTATGTTAAAAAACACATATTGTTGCCATTTTGTCACCCCTTAGTGATGACATCTGGTGCGCCACCCCCCCCCCCCCTCCTCTCCCCCTCTTTTCCTGGTTAAATGGTCAACTTCCGATTCAGCCTATAATTTGCCCCCAAATCAGGGTCCTGGAACCCACACAAGGAGTTAATTATTAACTTAGCTGCTGAACACCAAAAAAAAATATACATATGATAACAATGACCCTGTCTATATGTGTTCCGAGGACACATCAATGGGTGAACAAAGTCATCAATAATACAAAAAACACCAAGAGACACACCTCCTTCTTACAGTCCATGGTGTGTGGCATTAGCCTGTCCACAGCCTTCTGTCCATTGCACTAACAATCATCCAGGTACAGATGTGCCAGACAAACACCCTCTATCTTGAACTTTAATTTTCCCACTGTCATGATATACTACAGTTTTATCCTTGTCATGGTGTATCAAAAAAATATGGATTTTCTTAGTCTGATTGATCAATCGGTTTGTCCCCTCTGAGCTGTAACTTAACGGTTAACCATACCATCCTGAGATCTCAAACTGAAAGGCAGACCAACAATGTAGGTCCCGTTCAACCTCAAAAAAAAGTTATAATTAGGGTACCCGTTATGGGTGAACACAACCAGCCCTGGTGTAATCTGCAGCCTTTGGCAGGTAAAGGATGTCCTTTTCTCCTCAGAAGGCACACACAGGGAAACTGAACTACTTATTAACAAGGGGAAATAAGTGAACACCATCCACATGAGACTTTACCTGTGTAGAAACACCATGTAAGAATATATAGACACCGCTGACAGTCACATAAGAAGCATGGCACACATACACATGATACTGGTCCCTTGACAGAATAACATATCTGGCTGTTAATGTCCATGTGGACACAGCAAAGCTTGAGGTATGTTGTTTGAGACTGTCAGATACATGGTGTCCTTAGACCCAGCTGAAGGAGTTGCTATAGTGATGGCAGGTGAGTTACCTGGTTGGTAACATCATAGCTATTTAGTGGTGGGTTCTGGGGCTCCATTCTGAAGCATGTCATAAAAAGATTACTTAAGAGTTTTGCTGAAGTGGGATGTGCTGAATCAAGCGACAGAGATATTGCAGCCTAGCTGTAAACCACAACACAACATGCCATCCATTCTTTTAATGGTGACTGCAGCAGAAGAAAAAGATAAATTATCACAGCCATAAGGAAAGGATAATATTTATAGGGTATCACAAAGAGGAATACAGACATTGTGGGAACAAATTAAAGACAACAGAATGAAACATAGAAAGATAAAGGTGAAAGCTTCAACAGCTGGATAAAAATAATACAAGAAACATCAACTTCATCTAAATACCTATCATACCCATGTGAGTTCCAAGGTTCCACTACTCCCTAACAAGCAGGTGGTAAAACAGTAACTAGTTAGGAGTGTCTCCTTCAAAGTCCCAATGCATCTGCCTGAGAGGTGAGCAACCAACAGTCTACATACAAATAAGCCAGGTTTGTAAAATGGATGCGTCACAAAACTTAAGTTCTTGAACAAGATAAAAGTCCAGAAGTGGATAGCCAGAAATAAGACTGTGCTGGCTACACAAAAAGCAGCTGCTGGGAGACTCTTCTAGGCCATAAACCGAGGGTTTCTTAGCAAAAATGAAATTGGCAAGAGGACGAAAATGGCTGTTTACCACTCTACCTATGTACCAGTCTTGACCTATGAGAGTGAGTCATGGGCAATGACAACAGCTCACAGAAGCCAGCTTCAGGCCTCAGAAATAAGATATATGAGAAAAGTGGTTCAAGTAACAAGAATGGAAAAAGTCCGCAATCAGACAATACGTCCAGATCTTGATACCCAGTCCTAACAAACATGAGTGGATAAATCCCAGTTACGATGGTTCGGGCATGTATGCAGAATGGGAGAAAATCGGCCACCATGGCAGGAATGGGAGGCTAAGAACCAGAGAACAAGACCTCCAGGGCAACCCAGGGTGCGTTGGGAAGACAACATCCAACAGTCTCTAACTGACAGAGGACTGAAATGGAAAAAAAGCCAGAAAGATAACTGCTGATAGAGACATCTGGCAATTTCTCTGGCAAACTTCTACACCCTAAGGTAAAAGAGGTGCGACTAAGTAAGTAAGTAAGAAAACTAAGAAGAAGAAGAAGAGGAGGAGAGAAGAAGGAAGAGGGGAAGAAGAAAGTTGCAATATGTACTCAATTGCCAATACATTTCTTGAAGGCTGAAACCTGAGACACACCAATTTTGTTATTGTCTGAAAATAAAGGAAGAAGACCACATGGGAGTTGACGACAGTTATCCGATTGACCCCTAGACCAAACATGATCACCTTTGAACTGCCTCACTTGTGAAACTGTCTACAGATGTTCAGTTAGCTGACTGTTTCTTGTGGCAAAGATGACAGCTCACTTCCACACTTTGATGTGACCGTTCCTGGCAGCAGAGACGACCAGGGCCTGAGTGCTGTGACACAGAGTGATGTCATTAATGATGTCATGGTGCCCATGTAGGGGAGAGCTGTGTAGCATGTGGATTTCTCTTTCTGCCTCGTTTTTGTCCAGCGGTTCTCTCGGACTTTCCAGCTCTTGGATCACCTCACAGCCTTCAATGAGCTGGGCTCTAAGGATAAGAGACAGAAAGAGAACCTTTGTGAAACATGTTCAGTGTTCTCAGATTAAGGCACTCCCACTGTAAGTGATCTTAACATTTACAGAGCAACAGCTGTAGGATTGATGGAATTTTGTGAAACAAAACATCGCTAGCCCACTTCTCTACCAGCCTGGGCGTCCTAAGTTTGAATCCCCACTGAGGTGAATTGTTTAAACTGACCCCACTCTGAAGGTAACCTGACCTAAAAACTGATACTGAGTAATTACCTGGAAGATAAAGGCAGAAGGTGGGATACCAGTCTCATCCCATAAAGAATTCTGATTCATCATCATCATCTTGTTGTGCTGTTATATGTCACATAGGGCTTACGGTCTAAACCCCTATTCTGTTGTATCCTGTACATTCCTCTTGATATAATGGGTGGAAATCAGTCCAGCACGTTGATGGCCACACTCAGCAAAGAATTGCTCTATGCAAAATATGAGCTTTGCATGATATGCCCCCCCAAAAATCTCAACACATGAAAGTGCCACCTTTACCAGTTAGCTTCTGGTAACATCAAATTTATGGGTACATTTCTTAGGAGACAGACAGTCATTCATAGTAAGTCCGGGAAAGTTACCTGGCAATAAATACCTACAGAAATTGGGTTTGTTGGTCGAAAGACCCAAATATGGCAGCTATGCTACAAAACAGGATACAATGCATGTACATCCTTAAATGAACGGAGGAAAAAAAAAGATTTTCTCTAGTAATAAACGGGCCTCGATTGCATAAACAAAATATTGAGAAGCTTGTTTATAAACAATAGCAGTTGCAACTTACAAATATTTGCGTCATCACCACCATGTGCCATACTGAGAAATCTCGGCATTCATAGTGGGTAGTCTCACAGGATCACCTGTCTTGGATCAGATCTGTGTTGCTGTCTTAGTGATTCCATGTGGCAAAGTCCCTCAGTGAAAGTATCTTGCTGACAAATATTTTACCTCTTCTTTGTTCACCGGCTACACACTCCAGCGGAAAGTCCCGGCAGTTCATTCATTTAGGGATATGAGCTTTGCATGTACATCCATTTTACGGGCTTATTTGTGTGCAGCTAGCTGTTTCTTGCCACTTGGTTAGATGCACTCCGGCTTCGAAGGAAGCCCTCAATCAGTCGACTCCTACGACAGGCTTGTTGGGGGGAAGCAGTAGGTCTGTGCTTGTTTTCCCCACAATGGGACCCCGGAACCCATATGGGGCAAATATTTTACTAAATCATGGTAATATTTCCCTATTGCGAATTTCAACAAAGAAGACACAAATAATAGATTGCACAGTTTATTGCCCGGCATATTTCATTGTATTTCGTATGGGTTCAGCACAGAATTATGCAGACAAAAGGACATGGTCGTGAACTTCTGTTTGCCCTGGTAAACAGGCAACTTTTGGGGAAAGTAGCTGATACTGTATTTCAGTTACAAGGATTCCTGTAAGTGCTTCAATTTAATCAACAGTTACCTGAAGAAATACAGCGAAATTTACCAGGCAATAAATTGTGCAGTCTATTATCTGTTTCTTATTTGTTCAAAAATTGTACTGTACACAGAAGAGCCACACACACTACAAAAGAGATTCTCGCAAGACAAAATAAATAATTGCTATCACACAGCAATCTAAATTCAAAGGACAAAACAAATATAATGGTAATAACTCACATGCTAATATCAAGAAAAGTTTATAATTTAGAATATAAACTCACCTGTAATAGAAGGACAGAGATCTCGGGTTGTCCAGACCATAACTAAAACATGTTGAGTTGGCAGGATAGTTAAGATCCCAGTAGCGTAGCCTCATGTCTGTTCCCCCGGTAAGAACAAATGTCTTAGACTCAGTTGCTCCAACATAAACACCACAAACTCCCTCATCTTCTCTGCTCTTGTTTTGCTGAAAAAGTACAGAAAACAAATACAACCATCAATGTGTCTACAAGAAACACAATGAATGATCATGTGCCAGTTCTTTCATCTCCTATTTTCAGTAAACCCAAAAGTAAATAGTCAATGGTACTCCTGCGGCAGATAATACAGCACAGCTTTTGATCAATGGGATGATGAAGAGCTCCATTAGTCAGGCTGCAGTAGCATCCATCCCACAGTAGAAGGTCTTGGGAAATGAAAGACTGAAGACATCTTAGTATCTAAAACTAATGGAAGAGCACTCTATGACTGATGACATTTTGTCAAGTATAAGGTTGACCTGCACAGCCACAATAAAACACCCACATTTAGCCATGTTTCTGTGGCGCGGTGATTTATGTCACAGGCGTGAGGGGAAGTTAAGTCCAACTTGATGTGTATAAGGAGATACTCCGTACGTCACTCGGTCGCCAGTCCTTTACTATCCTGGTTGTACGGAACCTCACGCAAGACCCCTACAGCACGTCCTCGTCGTGCGCCACGGACAATGTCTCAAATGAGCATTAACAGAGCTGTCAGGGGATCTCGGAGTTCGGCGGCCCCCAGAGGTGATGTGTCCTTGTGGCTCTCATCAGCCCGCCCCCAAACGCTTGGGTGAAAAATGTTACCAAAACTCATTAGGAACATGAGTAGGTCTGCCAAACGTACAGCCAAAATTACAACCCTTGGTTAAAAGACTGCGGAGTAAAGAGAACATTGTTCACTGCACATCCTCTGTTAACCCTCAGTGTCGTCGTCACCGCGCTGAGGTACACCACAACAGCATCCATCCATAGGCTGGCCATCCTTGTACATCCTCGGTTAACCCTCAGTGTCGTCGTCACCGCGCTGAGGTACACCACAACAGCAACCATCCATAGGCTGACCATTCATGTACATCCTCGGTTAACCCTCAGTGTCGTCGTCACCGCGCTGAGGTACACCACAACAGCAACCAACCATCGGATGGCTAAGCCTAATTGTCCGACAAAACTAGATCATACGGATCAAAATCTGACCATCAAAATTTGTATTGAACTGAAAAAGACCGAATGTCCACACCCAAAGACCCCACTCGCCCGAGTGTTGGGACAAAACTGATAACGATATGCCTGATGCAGGATGTAAAATTCTGTCGGGCTAACGGCTCGTCAAAGAAATATAACGTGCGAGGGAAAAAAGAATGTACCTATCTGTGTGGTCACAAAAGTCCAAAACCCACGGGCTGCTCCCCGCTGACTTCCAGAGGGCGCAGCCCCTGTCGAGCGGGAGGCCTGATACGGTTGTGAGGTTAAGCAGGCATGTGCAGGACGTGATGATTCCTTGGGTGAGCCCAGAACCAGAGCGCCATGTGCCGGCTCTGCATGCATGGAAGCCTCCTTGGATGGCGGGGAATGCCCATGATCTGCCCCTGCCTTCCCTTGAGGGCTAACTGTTCCACAGGGGGCTGCCCCAAAGGGGTACTCCGAGGGCAATACCTGCGGCGAAGGGGACAAAGTGGACACCACACAAATCAGGCAACGTCACGACCCACACAAAACAATGGCCACAGTCAACCTAGAAATAGGCCTGACGTCTTCCTTCGAAGTCGGAGTACAGCTGCCCATGAGGCAGGGAAATGAAAAACGGTTGTACACGCAAAAATCAGGTCCAGGTGAAAGCCAAAAGTCCAAGCGGGCGATTAACCGGGACCTTCCACTGGAATTAACAGCCAGTGATCGATTAAAAAAAAAAAAAAAGCCATGTTTCTGAAACTCCTTTTGTCCCTTCTTTAGGTTTTCTCTCTCACACAGTGACTGACAACAACAGCTTTGTAATTAAGCAGTAAATATTGATAAACATAAAGCCCGATACAAGAAAATCTTCTCCAAGGTCTACTGATGAGAGTCTTGGAAGAAATAATGCTTAGCAAGGAAGGGAAAGTTTGACAAATGAATCCTGTCACAGGCTTGATATCACATGTGAGCGGAGACATACAATATAGATGTGAGATGACATTCTTCTTAGTGTTTACCAGGTGTTAACTCCAGCGGAAAGTTCTGGTTGTTCATCCATTTCTGCACTTTGATCTTGTACCAGAACTAGAGTTTTGCATGCACATCCATTTTACAGAGCTGGCTTAGTAGTATAAAGACTATTAGTTCCTTGCCTCTCAGGCAGGTACACTCTGGTTTTAAAAAAAACCATCTAAATAGTCGACTCTTGCAACAAGCTTGTTAGGGAGGTAGTGGGTCTGTTCTTGCCCCCCCCCCCCTCCCCCCAAAGCCTCTGAACCCAAAATCGGAGATTACAGCCGTGAAAGCTAAGAAGAAGAAAAAAGAGTTGAGTTGAAGCAGAAAACATACCTTGCTGTAAGACAGTGGTGGAGATGGACTGGGCCAAAGTGTCTTCTGTCTTTGGCCAGTTTCAGCATCCAGCATGGTCACTTCATTGTTCCAGTTGAAGGAAGCCACCAGCCACGACTGTTCAGTCGGGTGCATGGTGAGTCGTCGAACCCGTCGATATGACGGGTGCTGGATTTTGTTGATGGGCATCCTGAACCTCATGTCCCAGCACTGAACCACCCCGGTGCAGGTTCCAACCGCCAGCCAGCACTGGGACCGGTTCACAGCCAGGCTGGTGACCAATCCTTGCCTAGGGTCATTGCGTAACATCCAGGCTGGGCTGGAGCTGCGCAGGTCCCATCCTATGATGTGACTAGACACTGTGGTGTAGGTCAATACTGATTGGGCACCTGCAGAAATAAGACCAGTGACAAATCATGACTGGGCACCTGCAGAAATAAGATCAGTTACAAATCATGACTGGGCACCGGCAGAAATAAGACCAGTGACAAATCATGACTGGGCACCTGCAGAAATAAGACCAGTGACAAATCATGACTGGGCACCTGCAGAAATAAGACCAGTGACAAATCATGACTGGGCACCTGCAGAAATAAGACCAGTGACAAATCATGACTGGGCACCTGGATATTATCAAAGGAAGCAGAGCTGGCTTGGACATGCCTGAGAATGAATCAGGACATCACGGCAAAGATGGCTTTCCAGTGGACAACAGATATAAAAAATAAAAATAAAAGGAGACTTACCGACCTAAGGAAACCTGGAAAAGGACAGTACACAGTGGAAATGAAGGAATGTAAAGTGCATTAACTGGAAAGAGTGATCATAAATGATTCTCTACATCTCACAACAATCAACAGAGTGCATCAATGTGTGTGTAAAAGCTTTTCATGCCATGATGAAAGGCTGTTACAAATCTCTCACTTTCTTCCTCAATAAATATTTATATTCTATTATCATAAAGTGCCTAAAATTGGTGACTGCCTCATTCTAAAATTTTTGACAAGCTGTCTTAGCCTGTTTGAAAGCCTTTAAATTTCACATTTTCCCTGCTCAAGAATTTAAGACAAGCAAGTAAAAAGTGACTAATTAGGAGTGTTTCCTTCGAAGTCTGAGTGCATCTGCCTGAGAGGCAGGGAACCAACAATCTGCACACAAACAAGTCAGATCTATAACATGGATGTGAACTCAACACTTACGTTCTGGAATATGACCAAAGTCCAGAAGCAGACCAACAGCCAGAGCTTTCCACTGGAGTTTACAACCGGATGATGCTAAGAAGGACTGGGGAAATAAAAGCCACTAGTATAAGCTGTTGTCACACAGTGCTGAAGTGAAGCTTAGTACTTTTATTGTACCCCTGACACACACACATCCCTGAAATTATTGTCGACTGAATTTTAATTCCCTGATGTGTGAGACCAGTGTTCCACCCTTCAACTACCAACTTCTCTTGGAAAGCAACAACAACAAAAATGAAGCATACCTGAATCAAAGTGAGTCATGTCCATGACTTGTCCGTACGTGTCCATGTCAACAACCTGGGCATCCTCTAGTTTCACACTGCCACTGTCCAGTCTGTGACGTAGAGTGATATAGTTACAATGTGATACATTCACTGACCTGTCAACAGTGTCTTGACATGCCAAGTCAGACAAGACACTACACATCAACTCTGACAGAATATTGACATTACCACTCAGCCACTGTGATTATAAATCAAAGTATCATCTCTCTCTCTCCTGACCTGGTATCAAAGTACCATCTCTTTCCTGACCTGGTTTCAAAGTATCATCTCTCTCCTGACCTGGTATCAAAGTATCATCTCTCTCCTGACCTGGTATCAAAGTATCATCTCTCTCCTGACCTGGTATCAAAGTATCATCTCTCTCCTGACCTGGTATCAAAGTATCATCTCTCTCCTGACCTGGTATCAAAGTATCATCTCTCTCTCCTGACCTGGTATCAAAGTACCATCTCTTTCCTGACCTGGTTTCAAAGTATCATCTCTCTCCTGACCTGGTATCAAAGCATCATCTCTCTCCTGACCTGGTATCAAAGTATCATCTCTCTCCTGACCTGGTATCAAAGCATCATCTCTCTCTCCTGACCTGGTATCAAAGTATCATCTCTCTCCTGACCTGGTATCAAATTATCATCTCTCTCCTGACCTGGTATCAAAGTATCATCTCTCTCCTGACCTAGTATCAAATTATCATCTCTCTCTCCTGACCTAGTATCAAATTATCATCTCTCTTTCCTTACCTGGTATCAAATTATCATCTCTCTCTCCTGACCTAGTATCAAATTATCATCTCTCTCTCCTGACCTAGTATCAAATTATCATCTCTCTCTCCTGACCTGGTATCAAAGTATCATCTCTCTCTCCTGACCTGGTATCAAAGTACCATCTCTTTCCTGACCTGGTTTCAAAGTATCATCTCTCTCCTGACCTGGTATCAAAGCATCATCTATCTCTCCTGACCTGGTATCAAAGTATCATCTCTCTCTCCTGACCTGGTATCAAAGTATCATCTCTCTCCTGACCTAGTATCAAATTATCATCTCTCTCTCCTGACCTGGTATCAAAGTATCATCTCTCTCCTAATGTTGTATCAAAGTACCACCTCTCCCCTGAACTGGTATCAAAGTATCATTTCTCCACTGACCTGGTATCAAAGTACCATCTCTCTCCTGACCAGGAATCAAAATGTCATTTCTCTCCTGACCTGGAATCAAAGTATCATTTCTCTCCTGACCTGGAATCAAAGTATCATTTCTCTCCTGACCTGGAATCAAAGTAACATCTCTCTCCTGACCAGGAATCAAAGTATCATCTCTTTCCTGACCTGGTATCAAAGTATCATTTCTCTCCTGACCTGGAATCAAAGTATCATTTCTCTCCTGACCTGGTATCAAAGTACCATTTCTCTCCTGACCTGGAATCAAAATATCATTTCTCTTCTGACCTGGAATCAAAGTACCATCTCTCTCTTGACCTTGGAATCATAGTATCATTTCTCTCCTGACCTGGTATCAAAGTCCTATCTCTCTCCTGACCTGGAATAAAAGTCCTATCTCTCTCATGACCTGGAATCAAAGTCCTTTCTCTCTCATGACCTGGAATCAAAGTGCCATCACTCTCCTGACTTGGTATCAAAGTCCTATCTCTCTCATGACCTGGAATCAAAGTGCCATCACTCTCCTGACTTGGTATCAAAGTCCTATCTCTCTCATGACCTGGAATCAAAGTGCCATCACTCTCCTGACTTGGTATCAAACTACCATCTCCACAGAGAAGCACAAACACCAGCTTCATGCACAGGTAGAAGACCATGCTAGGACTTCATACGTGGGGGGAAGACACATAGGATCCCAGCAGGCCATGAATTAACAACAGCACATACACGGCTGGGATTAGGCTATGGCTGGTAACACTTCTTCTGTTGTGGAGTATGAGATTTTAAGTTTCATTGTCAATGGGTAAACACGCAACAATATGTCCACAAACTACAGGTAGATGTAAATAAGACAGGTGTCAAAAAAAAAAAAAAAAAAAAAGATGTAAAGCAACTGAACAACAAACTTGATGTCAAAACTGCAGATGACAGTGTGTACAAGTTACCTGTACACATGTAGACTGTTGTTGTCAGACACTGAGGCCACGGCAGTTGACCTCTCTAGAAATGTGACACACTTGATTTTTCCACCTGCAAGTGATCAACATTTATAGGGGCAATGAACATCAAACAAACTGAGTTTTAGCTACGGTTTTAACAATTGTTCTATCCTCTTCCTCAGGTTAGCACTCACTCACTCACTAACACACACTCGCTCATACACACACACACACACAAAATGAAATAATCACATAGTACCATTTCTACAAATTCTGGGTTCACCCATAAAAGGGCTGTTTTGTGGTTTAGGCTGTGAAAACTATTCCTTTCAACCCAGCAAACCCTTAATGAGTCACCTTTTATGATATGCTTGTTTAGAGGCAGTGGGTTTATTCCTCCCCCCCCCCCACCTCCAAAATAGCGCCCCAGAAACTCTGTGGCAGATACCCTCGCTTGTGCAGTAGGAAGATACTTAGAGGCTGCAGGCACATGGTTCAGTAAAAGAATGTGTACTGTACATCAATGGTTTCTCAAACTGTTGGCGACACACTAAAATCGTAGAGCACCAGGCAGACTGAGAACAAGATGGAAAGATAACATACGAGAAATTCTTTGTCTTCAGCAGCATGATGTGTATATGGTCAAGGCAGCCAGAAGAGCAAAAAAGTAGATCCTTATATCTCTCTCGACATTTGTGGTAAAAGAGGAAGTGAAGAAGAAAAAGATGAATAAGAAGAAGCAGTAGCAGAAGAAGAAGAAGAAGAAGAAGACGAAAAAGAAGAAACAGAAGAAGAAGAAATATGTTATGCCATATGTCTCAATATATGATGACACACACAAACCTTGCAATATCAGATGTCATTAGTAAAATAATATCAGTAACAGACATGTATCTTAAGGTGAAACCATACCTTGTTTATTCAGGCAGACCTTCGATCTGTTGGCAGCTGTTTTACCCTCCAATTTGGCACATTCCCAGATTCGAACAGTTCCATCGTTAGAACAGCTAGCAAAATACTTGTGGTCATGGCTGACACTGAGCCTGTAAGAACAAATTCCATGAAAGACATTTAAAAAAACAAAAAACAATAACTAATGAACTACAAATAGTCACTAACTTTTAAATTGCAATAATAGAAGAAGTAAAATCAAAAATGCAAAGTTTAGGGAGAGAATAAACAAATTCCAGCGAATCAAGAAGTGAGAAAGAGACAATGTGATTACTGATGTCATGAGGCTGTATATGACACAGTGTGATATGACATCTGTAGACAACAAATGCAACCGAAAAGACAGACATATAATAATAACATCTGGAGACAGTATAAGAATCAGACCACGCAGATTATGAAGTCTGCTGCAGTACAAGACATCCCTATGTGGGTTCCAGAGCCCTATTCTGGAGGAAACAAGAACAGACCCACAGCCTCTTTAACAAGTAGGTCAAATAAGTCAACTAATTAGAGGTTTTCTAAAAAGTGGGAGTGCAAGTGCCTGAGAGGCAAGGAACCAACAGTATGCATACAAAAATGCCAGATCTGTAAAAATGGATGTGCACGCAAAACTCAAGTTCTGAAACAAGACTAAAGTCCAGAAGTGGGAGAACAACCAGAACTTTCCGCTGGAGTTTACAGATGGTGAACGCAAAGAAGAAGAGTACAAGACATAACACATAAAAGCTAATGATGTTTGCAGACAACACAAGAATCACTACTGATGTTTGCAGTCACCATAAGAATGACTACTAATGTTTGCAGACAACACAAGAATGACTAGTGATGTTTGCAAACAACACAAGAATCACTACTGATGTTTGCAGACAAAAAGTGACAACTGCTGTTTGCAGACACAAAAAGAATCACTACTGATGTTTGCAGACAACATCAGAGTGACAAATGATGACTGCAGACAACACAAGAATGACAACTAATGTTTGCAGACAAAGAGTGACTTCAGATGTCTGCAGACAGTGCAAGAATGATTTACAATGGTTGCAGACAACACCAGAGTGACTACTGATGTCTGCAGACAACATGAGAGTGACTACTGATGTTTGCAGACAACACCAGAGTGACTAATGATGTTTGCAGACAACACCAGAGTGACTACTGATGTTTGCAGATAACACCAGAGTGACTACTGATGCTTGCAGACAAAACAAGAATGACTACTGATGTCTGCAGACAACATCAGAGTGACTACTGATGTCTGCAGACAACATCAGAGTGACTACTGATGTCTGCAGACAACATCAGAGTGACTACTGATGTCTGCATACAACATCAGAGTGACTACTGATGTTTGCAGACAAAACAAGAATGACTACTGATGTCTGCAGACAACATCAGAGTGACTACTGATGTCTGCAGACAACAAGACACAGTACACTTGCCTGTTAACAGCTCCTCTGTGTTCCTGTAGGTGAGCAACTAAAACGCCCTTGGGCTTCCAGCTCTCGGGTACATGGCTGCCATCCCAGGGTACCGCTGAGATTGCATCCGTGGAGAGAATATCTGCCTCAAACTGAGCTCGCCGGTGGTGGACCAAATCCCGCAGCTCCCACTTACACTTGGCATAGCGTGTGATCACTGTCACAGAAGGGGGAAACAGCTGTCAGGTTATGCTGAATGTGATTTACAGTGGAGCATGGACGTTTGCAATCACTAGGGAGCCAAACTGGCTAGCATGTTTGTTTGGTGGGTCATATATGCCTGGTTGGTCATATCTGCCTGGTGGTCATGTTTGCCTGGTGTTTGCTCTACCTTTTCTGAACAGGATCAAGTCTTGCTAGTCACATTTGCCATTGGCAGGCTACCTACCTGCTTGTAATACAATATATCACTACTGTCTTGAAAGATGAAAGATGTCAACAATCTGGGTTCCAGAATGACCCAGCCTAAAATAGGCACAGGAAATGAAGGGGAAGTAAAGACAACTGTGTTGAACTGAGTTTCAAGAACTGACATCACAGCACTCATGACATTCACATACGTGCTCTGCCCCATCTTCAGCAGCCAATGAAGAGTTCCAACTCCGATGGTACCAGCAGCAGTCTGATTATATGTCCATCTTGCCTTTCCTCAGAAGGTCAGTGTCAGTCAGATCCCCTGGTCATTCCCCATCGCACCATTCTCTCTTCTGACCGTGATAATTTAATTGTGTCCCCTGCACTGTTCATTCTCTCTCCAGGGGGTCTTGACCACATGTTACTTGTCATGTATCAGTTTACTACTGAGTGGTGCGGTACCAGCCAGTCTGTCTGCCTGTTCCTTTCCCAACACAGCTGTATGACCTGGAGAAAATATCTAAAAGATGGCAACTATCTTGGACTTCTGAAACAATGCATGCCATTCTGCACGGAAGACATCTGTGTGATACTGACCACATCATTCACTGTGTAGTGATCTATAAACATTTGGGGCCAGCACTCATATATAATTACAAGCAACTAGTTTTTCAAGAAGATGTGTAAATTTTAAACTTGTGATAGTCCAAAACATATGTATGTATGTATGTATGTATGTATGTATGTATGTATGTATGTATGTATGTATGTATGTATGTATGTATGTATGTATGTATGTATGTATGTATGTATGTATGTATGTATGTATTATGTATGTATGTGTGTGCCTATGTCCCACGTGTGCGCGTGTATGTATGTATGTATGTATGTATGTATGTATGTATGTATGTATGTATGTATGTATGTATGTATGTATGTATGTATGTATGTATGTATGTATGTATGAATGTATGAATGTATGAATGTATGAATGTATGAATGTATGTATGTATGTAAGTAAGTATGTATGTATGTATGTATGTATGTATTATGTGATGTCATAACTGTCCAACATATGTAAAGCCTCTATCACACACACGATTTTCATACACACTATGATAAACCGACACTGTATTCTAAACCATTACTGGAGTGTTTACAGAGCCTACGTACCAGATTTCTGTGGTTTGTCTGATGTCTGTGACAGAAGCAGGCCTCGCTGCATGCCATCAGTGATCAGTGGTGACTGTCCAGGCACATCTGTGCTGCCAGGCCCGGGACTTGCTGGTGTAGACAGATAAAGAGTTAGAGATTCGAGCTTTGTTAATATTCAACTTCTACCCAATGGTGCATAAATATCTCTGTTTCTAATGACTGACATTCAACCCCACCAGGACATCACACCGAGCAATAAACATCCGGTAACACAAAGTGCCACCATTTGGCACAGGTCCCAGTAACCCCATTCAACCTAATCTTTTATCTTCTACAGTGGGATATAAAGATATGTAGAAGTATATTAAAGTTTTGTGAATCCTGTCTTTCCTACCATTGGGTGTAGAAGTAACTGTCTCATATTTCCTCTTCTAATACACAGAATGGAAATACTTTACAATTCTGCACCCTGGAGATCTGCCTCATAATCATGTTATCCAGTTATACCCAGTTGACTATCATGGTAATATGCCCAGTTGACTGTCATGGTAACATGCCCAGTTGACTGTCATGGTAAAATTCCCAGTTGACTGCCATGGTAATATACCCAGCTGACTGTCATGGTAATATGCCCAGCTGATTATCATGATAATATGCTCAACTGACTGTCATGATAATATATCCAGCTGACTGTCATGGTAATATTCCCAGTTGACTGCCATGGTAATATACCCAGCTGACTGTCATGGTAATATGCCCAGCTGATTATCATGATAATATGCTCAACTGACTGTCATGATAATATATCCAGCTGACTGTCATGTTAATATGCTCAGCCGACTGTCATGAAAATATACCCAGAAAATATACCCAGCTGACTGTCATGGTAATATGCTCAACTGACTGTCAAGATAATATACCCAGCTGACTGTCATGGTAATATGCCCAGCTGACTGTCATGGTAAAATACCCAGTTGACTATCATGATAATATACCCAGTTGACTGTCATGGTTATATGCTCAGTTTACAAACCATTTCTGTGTTATAGTGAAAAGTATTCTTTTGACAGAATTATCACAGATAATGAGAAGTGTACATCAGCTGTTTTCCTTTCCAACAGGCACTATCACCCAAGAAAGAATGCAAATTAAAAAGTTTCTGCCACCCCGAGGCTAGGGATCAAATAAGGAAATATTTTAACAGAGGTAGACAGCAACAGAAAAGATCTGACTGAGGTGTCACATGACACAACAACAAACCTGGGGTTGGGGAAATGCTGCCCGCCAAGTTCTTTAGACTCATTTCTAGCTTGCGCTGGTCAGTTGCCGGCGCGGGTGATGAGACAACAGTGCCAGACTTTGGCGATGATGAGAGACTGTTAGTGTCGGGCTCATCATTTCCAAACATTTTCTTCCACTCTGGATTCTGAGGACAGATAAAGTTCCACAACTACCATACCACACAATTTCTGTATGTGTATATTATACTACATTTCACTGTGTATTCAAAAACATCAAATAATGTCTTGATATGGTTTTACTGCATATACTTAATAAGCATTAAATTTAATTCTAATCAAACCATCTACACGTACAGTGGTTACATAATTTCTGGACATATCCAGATGTGCTGTCAATTATCTGGTCATAGCTCACAACATCAGTCAAGTTTAGACATAACTTCTAGTGAAAATCAAGATCCAGACATATTTCTCAGCAACAGTTAATGTCTAGAAAACATTCGATTAACAATCAACACACAGTCAAGTCTCACTACAAAAGTCTATGTCCAGCTATTATCTTTTATCAACAATCAAGACACAGTCAAGTTTTGCTACAAAAGTTGAGATCTAGCTATTATCTTCTATCAACGATCAAGACACAGTCAAGTCTCACTACACAAGTCTAGGTCTAGCTATTATCTTCTATCAACGATCAACACAGTCAAGCCTCAGTACAAAAGTCTACGTCTAGCTATTATCTTCTATCAACGATCAAGACACAGTCAAGTCTCACTACAAAAGTCTAGGTCTAGCTATTATCTTATATCAACGATCAAGATACAGTCAAGTCTCACTACAAAAGTCCACATCTAGCTATTATCTTCTATCAATGATCAAGATACAGTCAAGTCTCGCTACAAAAGTCTATGTCTAGCTATTATCTTCTATCAACGATCAACACAGTCAAGTCTCGCTACAAAAGTCTAGGTCTAGCTATTATCTTCTATCAATGATCAAGACACAGTCAAGTCTCGCTACAAAAGTCTATGTCTAGCTATTATCTTCTATCAACGATCAACACAGTCAAGTCTCGCTACAAAAGTCTAGGTCTAGCTATTATCTTCTATCAATGATCAAGACACAGTCAAGTCTCGCTACAAAAGTCCACGTCTAGCTATTATTTTCTATCAATGATCAACACAGTCAAGTCTCGCTACAAAAGTCTATGTCTAGCTATTATCTTCTATCAACGATCCAGATACAGTCAAGACTCGCTACAAAAGTCCATGTCTAGCTATTATCTTCTATCAACGATCAACACAGTCAAGTCTCGCTATAAAAGTCCACGTCTAGCTATTATATTCCAGCAACAGACACAGTCAAGTCTCACATTTTAGCAAGCACAGCACAATGTCTAGTTGTATATATATATATATATATATATATATATATATATATATATATATATATATATATATATATATATATATATATATATATATATAAATATACGTCACTCTCATCAAGGTCTGCCTGAAAGAAACTCAGATTCTCACCAGCTCTGCCACCTTGTGCACTTTCATATCCAAGGAGTCACTTATATCCTGTGTCTATCTTCGTGTTGGTCGACCCTACCCCTCCTTCCTGGTACCATGCCTTCTGCTATTAGTTTTTTTCCAATCAGCTGTGGGGCTTGATATGGGGAAAATATTTCAGTTTCTGAGACAAGATGCTATTTATTAGCCAACCTTTCTTGAAGTTCAGATCTTTCAGGACGTCAGTATTTCCTTTCTTCTTTGTATTCTGAGAATCTTTATATAGCCTTTCAGCTGAAAAGCCTCTATGTTTTACCTTAACATTGGGGAGATAGTCCAGACTCATTCTGTATGTTGCTACAAGGAAGATGCATGCTCTCAAAATTGTAACTTTGATTTCCTTGTTGGTGCAGCCCTGACTACTGTATTCAAATATACTAGTGTCAGGGAGACTCCCCGGTCCAGTCACATGTAATACAGTCCTGTCACAAACTATCTTGCTAGAGACATCAAGGCAACCAACAGTAAACCCAGACAACCTACCATTACAATGGAATCCTGTTTTTTCAGCTTCTTGGTCTTCCTGTTAAAATATATATATATATATATATATATAATATATAGGCTGCAAGAATCAAGAAGGTTTTCCCCCACATTTTTACAGACAGGAAGGAGTGAGTTAGAAGGAAGTAGGTAAGAACACACAGACAAAGAAGTGGTAAGAGACACAGACAGAAAGATGAGGGTAAAAAGGGAGGAGGTGGATTGGGGGAGAGGTTAGACTGACAGAGAAGTATGTAACATAATTCTTCTTCTTCTCTGTGTTCATCAGCTGTGAACTCTGGTGGAAAGTTCAGGTTGTTTATCCAGTATTCACCAGCTGTGAACTCTGGTGGAAAGTTCAGATTGTTTATCCAGTGTTCACCAGCTGTGAACTCTGGTGGAAAGTTCAGGTTGTTTATCCACTTCTGATCTTTTTCCCCCCTCCAGAACTTGAGTTTGTGAGCACATCTATTTTACATATCTGGCTTACTTAAACTGCAGACTCTTGGTTCCTCACCTCTCAGGCAGAGGCACTCTGACTTTGAAGGAGACACCTCCCCCTCCCTCTCCTCCCAATTAGTCACCTTGTACGACATGCTTGGTAAGGGAGATGTGAGTCTACTCCAGGGGTGGGCAACCTTTCTTAGTTTGTGGGCCAAATTTAGAATTATCAATCTGGTCACGGGCCACAGAGAAAAAAATCCATTATAAACTTGACATCCAGATTTATTCGTAATTTTATATTTTTGTGAGATAACGTAAGATTATAATCTTTCAATTCACCTCAAGTCAGACATATTCACCAAGTGAAGAACTTCTATATATTCCTAAATATGTCTGTTCAAGCTGGTTTTTTGCAGAAACCATATTATAGAGATTAGGAGACATCAGTTTCTGGTTACCGCTGTTTAGATGATCACTCTTCTGGATGTTGATATTTGGATTTTTCTTTCTGCATATGAACGTATGTTTTTGTGTTCTTTTATTTTATGAGCTCAAAAGCCTGGTTATGTAGTAATTTTACACCAGCATGACGGCTATAATCTGCCCACATCTAGCCTTTTCTTTATTCCCCCTCCCCCCACAGATATTAGAACCCATACAGAGATGTAACATTAGTGAACTTCCTCTAGTAACCTTGTCTAAATTACGCATATTCCAATTTAATGACCAATCCCTTATAAAGATCATTTCTAATTCAATCACATCTTATCAACAACAGTCGGCTCTGTGGTTAAGCCGATGCAAAATTTTGCAATGCCAGGGCGCCAGGTTCGAGCCCAGCGGCGGCTTATGCCGCCATGCGCCTTGCGTTGGTTTCGACAGTGGTTTCGAAAAGCCGACTGTCCAGAAAGCAGTGGCAAAATACTGGACGTAAATAAGCCTAGAAAAAGCACACAGCAGCCAGGGGCTGTTAGGGTTGGTTCTGCAACGTCCTGTAAAGGAAACGCAACTAACCTAACCTTTTCAACAAGTCTATATGATCCATTTTTCTTTTCCAGAGACCAGGTCTAACTCACCCATCTCCAATTTAAAGGTTAGGTGTAATTCACCCATATTCCATCTACCCTTCTATAAACCAGCTACAAACTACCCATGCTCTATCTACAGGTAAGACCTAATTCACCCATATTCTATCTTTTGATCTGATCTATATAACCCCTGTCCCCGTCTAAAAAACATGCCTAAAGTAACTCACCCCTGGGGTACAATAGGTGTTTCTGAACTGGATTCTTTACTCTTATGTAGGATAGCATGTCGACGAACCACATTGCGGCCGTAATCCATGATGTTGATGCTTCCAGGGCTGGAGTGTCCAGGAGATCTTTGACTGGACTCGGCAGACCTGTTTCAAGTGGACAGCACATGGTTTCAGTGTGAGATCTTATTATCTCTGGTGTTTATGTTCACAGTAAGATATCAAATAAGAATCATGGAACTACATATGACTATGACAAGAGAACATGACATGAATATGACTGTGGAAATAACTATATGACACCCTACATTTTACAGTGACAGATAAGTAAAATAATTATTGACAGTTTTACAACTAAACAGCCTGTACTGCACAAGGACATTGCACTTCTTCCTCTCTATAGCCCACATTGCCAATAACATAGCATTTCTTCATCTTCTTGTTCTTCTTCTGCATTGTGCTTAAGAGGGTGGTTTGCACCTTGGGTTGTGTTTACAGTTAGGCTGTGACATCTGCACCTTTTGACCAAATACATTCAATTTTAGCAAACCCCTAATTAATCACCTAGTATGACATACTTACTGGGGAAAAAAGGGGGGGGGGGGAGCACAAGTACGCACAAGCATTGCACACACACAAATAGGAAAGCTATTAACAAACAAGACAGGCTAAGACACACACACACAGGAGTGATCAACAAACAAGAAATGCTAAAACAGATACAAACATATACAGAAATGCAACAACGCATGAGAAATGCTAAGACACACACACACAGATATACAGAGAGGCATCAACAAATCAGACATGCTAAGACAAACACAAATACACATAAGAAAGGCATCAACAAAGAAGACACACATAAAAAAATACATACATACATACATACATACATACATACATACATACATACATACATACATACATACATACATACATACATACATACATACATACATACATACATACATACATACATACATACAAACAAGAAATGCTAACTCATACACACATGTGCACCCACATATTCACATGTGTGCACACATATACACACAGAGAAAGGTATCAGTAGAAAATAAATGCTTTCTCTCACTCACCCACACATCCACAGAGAGAGAGAGAGAGAGAGAGAGAGAGAGAGAGAGCAAAGAGAGAGAGGAGAGACAGAGAGAGACCTACCCTGCTTTGTTTTTATGTAGTCGCAGCATAAAATCCTTCATGGCCTAGAGAAGAAACATAAGACAATCACTTACTTTTAATTATTGTTTTTACTTAAGATGAAAGACGGATGTCACCGTAACTACACTATGGCATGTTTACCAATTTGGAGCTGATGCCAAGTTTAAAAGTCAGCCAGAGAATGAAGTTGCTAATATATTCAGCTGGCTGATGGTCTGTCAAATAGATTATTGGCTGGCTGATGGATTGTGTTGATAGATTACAGGCTGGTCAATGGATTGTGTTGATAGATTAGAGGCTGGTCAATGGATTGTGTGATAGATTATTGCTAGCTGATGGATTGTGTGATGGATTATTGGCTGGCTGGCTGAAGCATACAGAAGAAACATAAGACAATCACTTACTTCTGATTTATATTTTTTACTTAAAATGAAAGATGGATGTTACCGTAACTACACTATGGCATGTTTACCAATTTGGAGCTGATGGCAAGTTTAAAAAGTCAGCCAGAGAATGAAGTTGCTAAATATATTCAGCTGGTTGATGGTCTGTTAAATGGATTATTCCCTGGCTGATGGATTGTGTGATGGATTATTGGCTAGTTGATGGGCTGAATGACAGTTGCTTGAGTGCTGATTGATTGGCAGATAACTTACTGACTGATGGATTAATTCTGACTGGTTATTTGATGGACTTACTGGTGGATTATCTCATGATCAACTGACTGACTGATGGCTGAACTGATCACTAAACAATCTGACAAGAACAAACACACACAGACCTACCAACAGTTTGCCTTCAGATTTCTCCGTCAGTCCCAGAGATGTCAACTTTCGGAACACCTAAGAAAAAAAAAGAGAAAAACAAGATGGCTACTTATGTCTGCAAGGCTCTTGTACAACATATTTAAAAGAAATTCAGGACCCGTTTCCAGGCTTTAGGTGTATAGTGCTATCCCCACAGCTTTAGAGACCAGTCAGTATTCAGCTGGTGATCCAGTCAGCATCCTCTTCTGAAATCATTGTCTTCTTCTGCGATCACCCTTTAAAGGATATCTGGCACATTGTGGTTTATAGGTAGGCTGTGATGTCTGGCGGGGGCATACTGAAAAGCGAATGAGAATGAAGGAAGAAATGATTGCAGAAAGAATGAGAGCTGAGCGTCTGAGAAGAAACAAGACTAAACACAAATATTGACAACAATGTCCCGAAATCATCCCATGCTATAACTGTGGAAGACTTTTCTTAATGCAGGCGGGTCTTGCTAGTCACATTTGCCATCACCATGGGTTGTGAGTCTCAAGCCTCCTCAAAGCGGAATATAAAACTGTCGTCTAGAAAGACAAAAGATGCCAATCAGTTAGGCTGCAATATCTGCACCTTTTGACAGAAAAAATGTGATTTCAGCAAACCTTTAATCAGTCACCTTTTGAGACATTCTTTTAAATGGTGGAGGGTCAATTCTTTTTTCCCTGAAATTCGACCCTGGACCCGCATGAAGAAAACCCTGATTTGTTGTAACCCATTACAAACATAGGCACGTCAAGTATCAGTTATATTTCTTCTTCTTCTTCCTCCATGTGGTGTAAATGTGGTGTGCCTGTTTACAGCATAGCTGTGATATCTGCAGGATACCATCACATCTGACTTGTTCACACATTTGTTATCTGGGTTAGCCTTCCTGGTTAGTTTTGTGGAACATCTGTAGCCTCAAATGCATGGCAACTTAGTTATTCCCCTGATCTACAAGTTTTGTCCCTTGAAGACCCATAGCCAAGAGCTAATTGGTCGACCCTCAGGTTAAGGCAGGGACAGAGCATGGGTATTCACCACAATCCAAGGAGGCATCCATAAATGCAGAGCTGACACATGGTGCTCTGGTACCGGGTTCCCCCAAGGAATCGTAATGTCCTGCACAAAACTGCTTAACCTCCCTTCCCTATACTGAACCATTCACTCATTAAAGAATATTTACATTTAAAGGGATCTCCATGGCAAAGATGTCAAGCTGTCTGCCTTGCCCTCTAAAGGCCATGGGTTCACTTGACGGCGGCGGCGTTCAGTTCATGGGTGCAATTTTTACGGAGATCATGGGGATCGTCGCTGGAACTACAGAGGTCATGCTCTGTGCGACACTCTCACCAGACAGCTAGCTGTTCTGCGGAGAGAGACTGCGCCATATGGGTTAAAACCCAGTGCAATGAAGTCGATCCTCTCACATCTACCTTTACCCACATTTAAAAGATGTGTCTCTGACACATAAGGCTATGATCAGCACAGAATCAACCAGCCACAAAAGGTAATGTTGCATCCCATGATGGCCAGAGATTAATGGCTTGAAATGCTCTATCATGAGATTAATGGCTTGAAATGCTCTATCATGAGATTAATGGCTTGAAATGCTCTATCATGAGATTAATGGCTTGAAATGCTCTGTCATGAGATTGATGGCTTGAAATGCTCTATCATGAAATTAATGGCTTAAAATGCTCTATAATGAGGTTAATGGCGTGAAATGCTCTATCATGAGATTAATAGCGAGAAAATGCTCTATAATGAAATTAATGGCGTGAAATGCTCTATCATGAGATTAATGGCGTGAAATGCTCTATCATGAGATTAATGGCGTGAAATGCTCTATCATGAGATTAATGGCGTGAAATGCTCTATCATGAGATTAATGGCGTGAAATGCTCTATCATGATATAATTGGCTTGAAATGCTCTGTCATGAGATTAATGGCTTGAAATGCTCTATCATGAGATTAATGGCGTGAAATGCTCTATCATGACATTAATGGCTTTAAATGCTCTATCATGACATTAATGGCTTGAAATGCTCTATCATGACATTAATGGCTTGAAATGCTCTATCATGACATTAATGGCTTGAAATGCTCTATCATGACATTAATGGCTTGAAATGCTCTATCATGAGATTAATGGCTTGAAATGCTCTATAATGAGGTTAATAGCTTGGTAGAAATGTATTAGATGTAAAACTCATAGTTGTCTAAGTAAAATCATGTCATCCATGGAGTCTTGACTGATGTAATTAGCTATCCATGGTTTCCCTTAGCTAAACAACAACATATGATGCTACACTCATACTTGAACAGACAAAATGGTACTCAGTGGGTTATATGGTCAACATTACACTGGCCGCCTTTACTTTCCAAGACATTACCTTGTAACTATTTTAGACTGGATAGACCTGGTGGTTAAATTCAATTTTTAAATAAATCGGTCTCGATGTGGGTATGAACTCAAGACCTTCGGATCAGTGTTGCACCAGCAAACAAAATTGTTAACAGCCAAAACAAAAAAAAAGACACTGTTAAGAAAAACCCAAGAAAAGACAGGCACCAACTTACTATTGTTAATCTGTTTACATTCAAACTGTCTACACATGTGTCATCTGTTTACAGATGAACAGTTGGTGTATGTGTCATCTGTTTATATACAGCTGATGTATGTGTCATCTGTTTACATACACACAGTAGGTGTATGTATCATCTGTTTACACACAAACAGTAGGTGTGTGTGTCATCTACATAAAAACAGTCAGCATATGTGTCATCCGTTTACATACAGACAGTGTGTGTCATCTATTTACATATAAACAGCTGACATATGTGTCCTATGTTCACATACAAACAGTTAGCATATGTGTCATTTGTTTACATACATACAGTCATTGAATGTAGCATCTGTTTACATTCAAACAGTAGAGGTTTGTGTCATCTACACAAAAAGAGTCAGCATATGTGCTATCTGTTTACATGTAGACAGACAGCGTATGTGTCATATGTTTACATATAGACGGTTGGCATATGTGTCACCTGTTTACATACAAACAGTTGGCATATGTGTCATTTGTTTGCATACAAACAGACAGTGAATGTATCATCTGTTTACATACCAATAGTCAGTGTATGTACCTCATACAACATCAGAATAGTGATGCAGTGGATTCCAGGCCACTTTGGCACACCAGGTAATGACAGAGCTGACAGATTGGCAAAGAAAGGAGCAAAACAAGAACAACCACCTACAGCGACAACCCTACAGACAGCAAAAACACTTATAAGAGCTATAAACAAAGAAACCTGGTTGAACAGATGGGCCATGGAAGACACTGGAAGAGAGGTTTATAGACATATGGCTGGCCCTGATCCTAATGACAGCATTAACCATCTAACAAGAAGGGACCAGGCCACCATCTTCAGACTTAGAACACAACATACTCCACTCAGTGGACATCTAAACAGAATACAGCCACAACACTCCCCAGAGTGCCAGCTATGTAACTACCCCTACGAAACTGTCGAACACCATCTCTTTGAGTGCCCAAAACTCAGCGAGACTAGAAGAATGCTACTCCCCCCGAGACCAGACAAGTGGAACACCTTGTACGGAGGAAAAGAACAGCTTATGAAAACATGCAAATTCCACTTCATGGCATTGGGCCAAAGGGCGAAAGCTCATGCGCCGCTGGATCGATAACAACAACAACAACAACATACAGACAGTTGACATATGTGTCACCTGTTTACATACAAACAGTTGGCATATGTGTCATTTGTTTGCATACAGACAGTGAATGTATCATCTGTTTACATACCAACAGTCAGTGTATGTATCATCCATTTACATACAAACAGTCAGTGTAAGTGTCATAAGGACTGCATGTACTTTGTAATTCTGAAATACCCAGTTTGATTCAGCACCAGGCAATATGGCAGCAGACCACTTTGCACTCATTTTGGCAGTGAGATACAACACTCATAGTTCAGAAAGTAATGGCAAACTATTGAGCATAAAATTGTCAAGTAAAAACAAACATGTATTTTAAAAAAAACAACATACAAACAAGAAATAACCAAGAGTGAACCACAAACCTGCGACAGGCGTTCGTCCAGTTCAGGGTAGACAGTACGTGGTTGGCGGGACAAGTTGCGTATGTAGATCTGTTTGGTGAACACATCAAACACATGCTCCAGCTGGGGCGACCGAAGCAGATAATCAAACACCTCCCGGGGGACTGGCTCTCCCAGGGCATCTATAAGTACCATCTGAAAACAAACAGGGTCCTGTGTGGATGACTGGAATTTCTGGCAGTTGACACAGAGCAAATTACCAGAAGCAATTCCTTAATAAGGAAATACGGTTGAAGTTTCACAATTCTGAAATTTGTAAGTGAGTGAATGAGAGAGAGAGAGAGTGCGAGACACAGAGAGAGAGAGTAGAGGTGAGGGTGGGAGAGAAACAGATAAAAGAGGGAAGAGAAGGAGGGATGAAGGGGGGGGGGGCAGAAGGAAGAGAAGGCGAAAGGAGGGAAGGCAAGAAAGAGCTAGACAGAGGTAAGAGAGGCAAGGACTGAGATGAAGCGAGAAAGTGATGAGGACAAATATCAAGAGAGGGCAGGGACAGAGTGAGGGGGAGAGATAGTGATTCACCTATAGTGCTGGCTGAAATGTTCTTGAATATATTAATGTATGTTTTTTTAAAAGCAGTTAATTCCTGGGCATCTCTGTGGTAGCTAGGAAATAAATTCACCGCTGGCCTCAGGTGTTGGTCTACTCCTATCACTTTCCACTGGTACTGTGCTCTATAGCACCCTCTTAAGTGTTTCTCATGCTTTAGGGCAATTAACACTTACATAAATCTACAACTGTATGCATAGACACTGAGACAGAACACACACTGAGACAGAGTACACACTGAGACAGAACACACACTGAGACAGGACACACACTGAGACAGGACACACACTGAGACAGGACAAACACTGAGACAGGACAAACATTGAGACAGGACAAACACTGAGACAGAACAAACATTGAGACAGGACAAACACTGAGTCAGAACACACACTGAGACAGGACAAACACTGAGTCAGAACACACACTGAGACAGGACAAACACTGAGACAGGACAAACACTGAGACAGAACAAACACTGAGACAGGACACACACTGAGACAGGACAAACACTGAGACAGAACAAACACTGAGACAGAACACATACTGAGACAGAACACACACTGAGACAGAACACACACTGAGACAGAACAAACACAGAGACAGAACACACAGAGAGACAGAACACACAAAGAGACAGAACAAACACTGAGACAGGACACACAATGAGACAGAACACACACTGAGACAGGACACACACTGAGACAGAACACACAGAGAGACAGAACACACAGAGAGACAGAACACACAGAGAGACAGAACACACAGAGAGATAGAACACACAGAGAGACAGAACACACAGAGAGACAGAACACACAGAGAGACAGAACACACAGAGAGACAGAACACACAATGAGACAGAACAAACACTGAGACAGAACACACACTGAGACAGGACACACACTGAGACAGGACACA